GTGTGTGTGTGTGTGTATAAATCAGCAGAGATTAAATCATGGAGCCATATTAAAATCACCTGTTGGACTTATTAAACTCTCAGTTTCTCAGTCTTGGGAGAAGGAACAAAAATGCACATTCCTAACAAGTTCCGAAGTGATATTGATGTTGCTGGTCTAAGGACCACATTTTGAGAACTTGGCTTCAAACACTGGAGACAGAACCCAGTCTTTATATAATTTCTCTATTTACACTCACTATCTCAATGATCTTGTCCAGTTTGACAGTTTTCAAAAGTAGAGGTACAACCAAGTGTGGTGGCACATGCCTATAATCCCAGTGGCTTGGGAGCCTGAAGCAGGAGGATCACTAGTTCAAAGCCAGCCTCAGCAACTTAACTGAGGACCTAAGCAATTTAGTGAGACCCTGTCTCTAAGTAAAATATAAAAATGGCAGGGGGTGTGTATCAGTGGTTAAGTGGCCCTGGGTTCAATCCCTGGTACAAAAAAAAAATGTCTTCCAAATTTGAATCTCTAGCTCAGACCTCTACACTGAAAATTTCTGGCCTGAGCAAATCGAAGAGCGAAGCTGCCATTTGTTGAAATGCAGCAGAATGTGAATGGAGCAGATTTTGTGAGGTAAAAAGGATTTATAAGGATTTGTTTCAGAAAAGTAAAATATCTGAGTAGAGATGTTGAGTAAATATTTGTCATATAAATTTTCAGCCACACCCAACCAGCCTTCAATTACCACTCAGTTAATCCCAGAAGGGGATTAATTCACTGATTGGGTTAAGACTCTTATATACGAATCATTTCTCCTCTAAATCTTTTGTATTATCTCCCACATGAGCTTTTGAAGGAAACCTCACATCCAAGCATAACATTCCTCCCCTGGCCCCCAAAAGTTCATAACCATCTCACAATGCAAAATACATTTTGTCCCTTTCCAAGAGACCTCATAGTCTCAACAGTTCCAAGATTACACAGAAAGTCTCCTCTGAGACTCAGGGCAAGATTGCATTGTAAGCTCCTATAAAAATCAAAAGTTGGGGCTGGGGTTGTGGCTCAGTAGTAGAGCACTTGCCGAGCATGTGTGAGGCCCTGGGTTCGAGTCTCAGTACTGCATATAAATAAAATAAAGGTCCATTTACAACTAAAGTAAATATATATTTTTAAAAAATCAAAAGTGATTTACAAATATCTAATATATATAAAGGCACAG